GGCAAAGCGCCCTCCCCACAAATAGGCGACATTGAAAAAAAAATTGTCTCTTAACCAATTCAACTGAGCTCAAATTATGACCAGTTGTAGTACAATGCCGAATGTTTAATCATGAGATAATATTCGCAGTATTTCACCATTTACTTGGTTTAGTTTATTTTGCGGACATCAACGCACTCACCTTATGGCAAGATCAGGTTTGTTTAACTGTGTGGGTTTTCATCAAAATCGTTCGAACTTTTGAAGTCAAATGATATGCCTTGCGACTGGTAACGCTATGCAAATTTTAAATAATTTAAATTATTCAAACCTTTAGAAATGTACTGTCTTTAGATTATCTAAGTGTGTGTGTACACGTAAAACGAACAATTTGTTACAAGACTGCAAACAAGTTGTTAAAAATCTGTTCACAAGCTGTCGACAAGTTGTGTTCGCGCTGTTTGTTCCCAGTTGTTGTAACAAGTTAGGAACAAGCTGTTAACAACTTCTAACAACCTTGATGGCATTATCGGACTTGGTACAAGGTTGTTCTAACCTAGGTCTGATACAGTCATGATATAACAAGAATGTTACAAGGTTGACGACACAAGGTTGTAACAATATTGTCATATCATGACTGTATCGGACTTGTTGGAACAACCTTGCAACAAGTCTGATAATATCAACAAAGTTGTTACAAGTTGTTAACAGCTTGTTCCAAAATTGTTGACAACTTGGGACAAGCAGTGCGAACACAACTTGTTGACGGCTTGTTGGCAGACTTGCTACAAGATGTGAGATTTTTACGCGTGAAGTTGTGTTCGCACTGCTTGTTCCCAGTTGTTGTAACAAGTTTGGAACAAGCTGTTAACAAATTGTAACAAGCTCGATGGCATTAGCAGACTTGTTACAAGGTTGTTCTAACAAGTCTGATACAGTCATGATATAACAAGAATGTTACAAGGTTGACGACACAAGGTTGTAATAGTATTGTTATATCATGACTGTATCGGAATTGTTGGAACAACCTTGCAACGAATCTGATAATATCAACAAGCTTGTTACAAGCTGTTAACAACTTGTAACAAGCTTGATAGCATTATCCGAGACTTGTTGCAAGGTTGTTCTAACAAGTCCGTTACAGTCATGATTATAACAAGAAGGTTACAAGGTTGACGACACAAGATTGTAACAATATTGTTACATCATGACTCTATCGGACTTGTTGGAACAACCTTACAACAAGTCTGATAATATCAACAAGGTTGTTACAAGTTGTTCACAGCTTGTTCCAAACTTGTTGACAATTTGGGACAAGCAGTGCGAACACAACTTGTTGATGGCTTGTTGGCAAGATGCGAGACTTTTCCGTGTGTACGTCTATTAGTACACGCAAAAATCTCACAACTTGTCAACAAGATGTGCTCGCACTGCTTGTTACCAGTTGTTGACAAGTCTGGAACAAGTTGTTGTCATCTTCTAACAACAAACTCGCAACAAGTTGTTCCAACAAGTCTGATATCGTCTGCGCGTAACAAGTTGATGACAACAAGCTTGTAGCAACTTGTTACGAACAGCCTGTATTGGTCTTGTTGGAACAACTTGTAGCAAGTCTGTTACCGTCATCAACCTTGGAACAAGGTGATAATAACTTGTTCCAGATTTGTCGCAACAACTGTTCCAGATTTGTCGCAACTTTATGAACAGTTGCCATGTCTAGCTTCGGTCAATGCTTAAAAACTTCCCAACTCTATTTTAGAATTTTTACACCAAGGGATAACTTGCTAGAGTAGCTATCCCACATTGATTATCCTTGTTCCTTGACATCATAATATACCCCTCCATACCCCAGTGTGGACCCCAGCTGTTCTTAACCAGCCAGTAGTCTTTACCATTCAAAGTACCATACCCTACCACCAACACACCATGGTCAAGCTCTGTGCTACTGCAATCTGGTTCGTCATATACGCCACTATGGTATAACTGAAAATTACGGTGATCTGCATCAATGGCGGTTGATATAGGCCCCACCGTCGCCACAGCCGAATGAAGCTGAGACTCTGAGTACTGCTCTATATCCACATATCCTAAGAAGTAGGGAAATATGAGAAACACGGGCACTGAACTTTAAAAAAGTCATTGGCCTTGTAAATGCTAAAATAAGTTAAGGTTACAGAACACCTTTGAGTGTTAATTTTGCCTAAAATTTTTTTATTGGTTTCAATGAAAGCATTAGACTAGTTCTACTATCTGACCAAGTTTGAACGAAAAATGTTCAAAACTCGCAGAGTTATTTAGTAAAATACATTTCGCTGCAATATGAAAAACATTGAAAATGTAGTATTCAAATTCAATTTTCTCCCGAAACATTTTACGGTAATTACTGATTTTCAAACGAGTTGTGCTCCTGCGGGTTTCAACCAATTTTTCTCAAATTTTCACAGGACATAGCTAAATACGTCAGTTTCAAAACTGTGTTCGGCTTTTTTTTAATTTTGGATATTTTAAAAATAAAGAGCAATTCACTCAAACAATTCAGAAATATATTGCAGTCGTCAAAGAAATCGCCATATCAGCGGAATGATGAAATAAACAAAAATTTCCGAACACAATTTTTTAGAACAACTATTTTACTGTATAAAAATGATATTTTCATAAATATAACTTAAAACCATCAGGAGCACAACTCAAAAGCGTAAAGGTACCGCGATTTAAGATTTTCCTGAATAATTCTTCCATTATTATATTGTTTGTTAATTTTACAACTTTACCATATTTTGCATGCACTGGAGAACATTTGGTGAAAATTTCATGAAAATCGGACTGATATTGAGCGCGCAGTAGCGATTTTCCGCAAAACGCCAAAAAGGGTATCCTGTAACCCCAAATGATCGAGTGACTTCATGGCATTGGACATTTTCAAAAGAATGAAGAGAAAATGTCAATGGAAGATTGTGTTCACTGGATGGCATAGAAAACAGTGGGATTCTAATAATAACAAGACGCCTGCTCAGGCGTTCACACTGACCTGAAAATGACAACATACGTGCTATGATGCATAGACAAGAATACAAATCGTGAACCGCAAACGCAAAGCGTGAAAAGCTATAAAAGCGTGGCGTGATCGTCAGGAGATGTTTTCGTAATGCCCAATGAAACACAAGTATTATTCACAAATACAAACGTTATCCGTAAATGCGCATGGTCTCTGAGCATGCGATGCCGCTAACGCAGACAACATTGTCTAGTTACATTCCGTCAGTCCGCATATTTAATAAACGTATAAAATTCGAAAAACTCAGCGATCCAGATATTGCATTTCCAGAGACGTTGCATGAAAAAAACCCAACCAGTCAACTTCCAAGGAAGTGCAGAGTAGGATAAATCCAAAATCCACAGAAAAACGCGCTAAAATTCAAATTGACAAATGAATAAATTGTTTGAGACTGAAATAGTCACTCATTGATGGTCGCCATCTTGAAAACTGTTCTGTATAGTAAACTTGAACGACTGGAACACTGGAAACTGAGCCTGCGATGCGCTAACGCAAACTCGCCATTCTCGACAACGAAAAAACCCCCATGGAGAACTGTCGGATTTTCAAAACAATGAAAAGACAATGGAACATTCTGATCTAGCCTGAAAACAGACCTACGTTACGCCCGCCCTAAAATTCGCGGGTCGACGGGCGAACCTTTCCGTCGACGCGCTAATTTTAGGGCGGGCGAAACGTAGGTCTGTTTTCAGGCTAATTCTGATCATTGGATCATGACTGGATGTCCTGGATGGTACGGAGAACAGTGGTATTTTCAA